CAAATGAAGAGAGAGATGAGATTTCATCGAATCTCTCGCCTCAAATTCGAACACAGTACCCACTGTTTTAAGAAAATAGCACTAGAATCGAGAAATTCGAAGTTCAGGAGCTTACCGAGATCCATCTGAGGCAATCAACTTCGGAATAATCAGAATCTACGTTTGGGCTTGCCTGAATCCGTGCTTTTCTAACAGTGTCGACTGAATTACTCCATCATGAGCAAATCAAATACTGGAGGAATCACCTCCAACGGCAAACGCTACATGTTCTATCAGAAAGCATCAAGTAAGCTGCAAAACCTGATAATCCAGAATAGACTTCCTGTAGAGGCGTCCGCACACATTAGCTTCTCAGACTGATACTGAATAGTCAGGTCATAAGTCCTTGATAACTCAAGTCGAGAAGAATGGCTCAGGTTCAGATTCTTCTTGAGTGAAAATATGCTTCAGGTGTTATTGATCAATAAAAATCTCACATCTGACGCCTACAGATAATGACGCCAATCTTCAGAGCAAAGAACAACGCAGCTAATCTCGCAGGCGTGGGGTAATGTTCTTCATGTGGTTTCAACTGTGTTCGAAGCATAAGCATACCTTCATTTTGCAGTCAGCATCACAACCCAGTCTTTTCAGTGAAGCGATCACTGAACACTGAAAACCTTCGTCCTGACGGAAGTGCCAACACTGGAGCGGAATGTCAAACAATTCCTTCAATGCCTCTGAAAACTAGCTTTCACACTCCGTGTCAATACAAGGCTTACTGCTTCTTTTTGATCAGTTCTCGTCAGAGGAGTGAAATTCTGTGAGAATCCTTTCACAATTTCTATAATATCCGGCATGCCAAGAAAGCTACGTACCTCAAATATCCGTAGTCGGCCCTTGGCCAAGTCAGCAACCGCTCTGATCTTCTGGGGATTCCAAGAAATACCTTCTCCGTTACCACATGCCTCAGAAAAGAAAATACTCTTCAGCCCAGAATTCATCCTTGGAGAACTTGGCTTACAGCTGATGCTGCGCTCAGAGTCCAGACACAATCCTCAAGTGTCTGGCATGATCATCCTCAGAAGCAGAACGATACAGAAACTATCGTCGATAAAGATTGATCACGAACTGATCCAAAACATCCCTGAATACTCGGATTTATCAGTGCATGAAAATAAGCGGGGCGCATTGGTTACCCAAAAGGCATAACCAAGAAGCTCGTAGTGCCGTACGAGTATGAAAGCAGTCTTCACCACATCCTTTCCTTCCCTTCAGCCATGATAATATCCGGATCTCAAATCAATCTTCGAAAATACCGAAGATCGGAAAGCGTGGTAAGCAGATCGTCAATCGAGGCAAAGGATCTTGTTCTTGATCGTAACTTGTTCAAGTCTCTGTAATCCAAACACTACGGAGTGTCCCTCCTTCTTCTTCAACAACAGAAAGGTTGTCCCAGGGTGAACACTAGGCACGGACAAACCTCTGTCAACCAACTCCTGAAAGCTGGAACTTTCCACTCAGAAATTCTTTCGTGCCATCCGTACGAGCTTTGATATAGGAGTCTATACCCGGAAAAACATCGATAGAGAACTTCGCACTCTCTAATCCGGAGGTAAACACCAACTCCTCAGGAAAACATCAGCAAACTCGCGTACCACTGGGATGCTCAGAAATCAGAACCAATTCCGGTTCAGATCCCGCACCGAAGCCAAAAACACTGGGCATCCTTTCCTCCACATTCTGCTCCACCTCCAACGCAGAAATCAGACTGGAGAGTACCTCGTAATCCCTGAAATAATACTCTCTCTCCTGTCAACAGCAACTCACTTGCTTCTTCAGTACAGTCAGCTGAGCCTGCATACAGACTCAGCCAATCATGTGATTCTGGGCAATGGAAAACCATGACTTGAGTGTCACTTCTTGCAGTCAATGTCAAGTCTCACACAACAAACTTCCGAGCAACAAAGGTATTTCCAACGGTAAATCCAAGAGCAAAAGAAACCGGTAAAACAGTCGAATCCGAATGGTAAAGTCTCAAACATCGCTCGGTACAAAAAAGAATGAATGCTCCAAGAGTCAAACAAACACGACAGGGCTGATCAGAAATGTAATATCGTCACCTGTCACAAATCCGGAGCATCACGAGCCCTCCTGCTGACTCAGGTTGTAAACTCGTGGGCTGAACTGGGGCAGGAGCTGAAGCAAGAACTATCTGCTCAGAGGGAGCCCGTAGGTGGTTCTCCGTGGTCTAGAACTAGTACCACACCTCACCAGAAATCCCTCAGGACGAGGAGGAACAGTCTCGGTCTTCCTGCTGACTGACAGGTCCTGACAAGCCTAGATCGAACTCAGAAACGCCGGTTCAGATCAGTCTGTGGACCTTCTGCAATCTATGTCCCGGCTGGACGCACATCTGAAACAAAGCACGCAGCACTCCTGGTAAAGACTGGCCATGGTTTCGCCGTCCAAATTCCTAGAACAGGTGCCCCTGACAGATCCAGAACTCGTCGTACGTAGCGAGTACAGACGCCCTCCGCTCTCCTGGAGTCAACGGATACCAGAATCCAACTATAAATACTCCTCTTCCCAGAGGAACCACTGCCAGACAGTCTCACTCCAAAAATCTCTTCTACTCGCAGTCACCGCTGTGAGTAGCCATCAGGTCATTCTCAACAGACGAGGCTCGCTCACCAAGCTCAGAAGAAATCAGTAATCCTAATGGTATAGCAGGGCTGCTCAAGTGTGTCTGTAATTACCTCTCAGAATCTGTAGCACTCTCACAGAGTGGTGACAGCTGCGGAGCGCTTTGCGTAATGCAGTAAAACTCAGTCTCGACTGCCACACGTCATTGCTTCCCTGAAACAGCCTCAAGAAGAGTCTTCCTGCATCTGCTGTCGGCAGAAGGGGGAACAACCAATCTGCGAATAGCTTCAGTGAACTCTTCCCAAAGTAATCAAGAGTAGCCTGCCCGAAATCTGGCTGCCTGCTGGCCTTCCCAACCCAGGCTCAGCTCTCCATCCAACATGAAAAACAGCTACGGAACCTTCTATCGCAGGACACTGCATCCCATCAAAAGTCTTTTCCAATCTCCTCAGCCACTCCTCGGCTGCTCTGGGCTCAACAGCGCCCTCAAATCTCGGAGGTTTCAACCTCAAAAATAACTGCAGATGTCTATCAATGTCCTCAGATCTGACAGTAGAAGCTCTGCTCTGAGTCTCGCTCATCATCTGAGCAACAAGCGTAGCAAACTGAGATAATGTATCTGCACCGGCCACTAGGGCTGTACTCCCCACTGGTGCTGCCTGACTGGCACTCTGCCCGTCTGTCATGTCTGGGTCTGGCTGATCCATACAGAAAAATCCAGAAAATCCGGAAAACTATCACAAAAACAACACAAAAACAACACCATAAAAAGCCAAACGACCCAAAACTACCCCCAGACAGACTCACTGATCACTTCCTATAGCTCTGTCTGACAATCCAACCAATTTCCAAAACCAGTGCTCTGATACCACTAAAGTTTGTCACGACCCGACCCGACGGGGACGGATCCCGCCCGAGCCGGACCGCGACCAAAATCTTTTATCCAGGATCTGGCTTTGGAATTGGTTACTGAATTGATTCTTCCAAATATTTAACTCAAAACAACACACAAACACTGAATAAATCTCTATAGTCAACACACATCCGTATTGTACGATCCTTCTTTTTCACTAATAGAAAAGGTACTCCCCAAGGAGAGACACTCGGACGAACAAATTCTCTATCAACCAACTCTTAGAGCTGAACTTTTTACTCCGCCAGTTCTTTCGGAGCCATCTTGTACGGAGCTTTAGATATCTGAGCCATACCCGAAAATACATTAATACAGAACTCAACATCTCTATCCAGAGGTAAACCAACTAACTCTTCTAGAAATACATCCGAAAAATCTCGTACAATCGGGATATCAGAAATAGAACCCGCATCTATATTCATATCCCGTACTGAGGCCAAAAAAACCATACAGCCCTTCTTCCACAATGTTCTTACTTTCAACATAGAAATCAAACAGGATAAAGTACCTCTTAACCCTTGGAATACACACCTTTCACCATCCATAAATAATGTAACTTGCTTCTTTAGACAATCTATCTGAGCCTCATACAGACTTAGCGAATTCATACCCAGAATCACATCATACGAAGAAATCGGTAGCAAAATAAAACAGGCCTTCCACTCCTTCCCAAAAATTTCAATCTCACATAAACAAAACTTTATGGCTATCAAATTATTTTTAGCGGCAAAATAACAGAAAGCGAAACAGGTAATGTAACGGAAACCAGTTGCAAATCATCAAAAAAGCGCTCGGAAATAAATGAATGACTAGCTCCAGAATCAAACAAAACACGACAGGGATGTTCAGAAATATAAATCGTACCTGTCACCACATCCGGAGTATCACGAGCCTCTTGTTGATTCAAATTGTACACACGTGGCTGAACTGGAGCTACAGAACTACTAGGCTCCCTCTGATTACCACTAGGTGGTCTTCTAGCCAAAGAACCCGAACCACCAGCTCTACTAGATGATCCTTCAGAAACAGTACGGGGAGGAATTGCCCTATTCTTTCCCGCCGGTCTAACAAAGCTCTATGATCTGGACTTAGATCGTCGATCAAATCCGGCTTGTGCACACTTTGCTAACCGATGTCCTGGCTGACCACTTCTAAAACACTGACTAGTTATCCTGTAACACTAGCCAAAATGTCGTCGTCCACAATTTTGGCACACCGAGGCCCCACTAACTGATCCAGAACTGGCCATATTGCCACTACCAGAAACTGTAGCAGATACTGACTGTCCACTCCTTTTGGAGTCTCGAGATACAAATATATTTTTCTTTCCAAAAAAACCACTACTGGATGTAACACCACTGAATCTCTTCCTAGTAGCAGTCCACCGCTGCTGAGTAGCCATCAGATCATTTTCTATCAATCGAGCTCTCTTCACAAGCTCAGAGAAATCAGAAATGGTACTAGGGGTTGCCTCAGACTATCTCGTAGTCCCCTCAGAAATCTATAGCACTTCTCCGCAGAAGTATTCACCAACTGTGGAGCATATCTGGCTAAAGCAGTAAACTCTGCCTCGTACTGCATAACTGTCTTGCTCCCTTGAACCATCCTCAAAAAATTCTCATGCATTTGTTGTCTTGCATAAGGGGGTACAAACCAAGATCAGAATACTTCAGAAAATTCTTCCCAAGTAATCAAGCAGTTCAGTTTACTTTGGAATTTCTCCTCCTACTGGCCCATCCACCAGCGCTCTGCTTCACCATCCAACAGAAAAACTGCTAACAGTACCTTTCTATCAGGAGGACATTGCATGCCATCAAATGTCTTTTCCAATCTCCTCAACCAATCCTTAGCTGCTATGGGCTCAACAATGCCCTCAAACCTTGGAGGCTTCAATATCAGAAACATTTGTAGATGTCTATCTACATCTTTAAATCTAACAGCAGAAACTCTATTCTGTGTCTCGCTCATCATCTGAGTAATCAAAGTAGCAAACTGTGAAACTGTATCAGAACCAACTACTGGGGCAAAACTATTCATAGGAGCTGCCTGACTAGCACTTTGCCCATCAGCCATATCTGAGTTTGGCAAATCCATAACCACACAGAATTCACAACTATGCACACAAAACAAAATAATAAAAATCCAGACAGATCGGAACTACCCCGAAGAACTTACAGATTAATTCATATAGCTCTGTCTTACAATCCCATATTCCAAAACTATGCTCTGATACCCCTTTAATCTGTCACGAACTAACTCGATCTAAATGAATCCCATCGCGTCGAGTCGCGACGGATGAATCCATGATCTAGCTCTGTAATTTAGTTTCTGACTTTCTTTCAAATAATCATACAGAGAACACAGAGCTACTATAAACTTTCAAATATACATAAATTCATCTAACATTTTCTTTCTTCTCATTCTTCAAAATAATCATATACATTACAGTGCATGACAATAAATAGAAAGAACATGACAGAACAGAAAAGCCATAACTGTACAAAAATCAAAAGTAAAAAAATATCTAATCTCAGATCAGATACTGAATGGCTAGTCCAACACCTCCTCTTTCCCAGAACCTGAAAATCATGAAGATAACCACAGCGAGCTAACAGCTCAGCAAGACTACACTAGACGATCAAAATCTCTAGAAACTTACATAAAAAATCATCAGAATAATTTATTCAAGTAGCCGTACATAATTCAAATAATCGTACAGAAACTCATATAATCAGACAAAATACAGATATGCATACAAAATAGATAATAAAAAAGAAATCAAATAACTGATACATAAGAACTGAATTCATTTCATATAACAGAATTATTCAAATCAGATTTCAAATCGGAGTTCAGATCATATTTCAAATCACATATCACAGAATCGTACAAATCATAAAGCACATTGTCAAAGCAGATAAGATCACATATCACATATCCCTGACCCAGACAGAATCTCAACGGATTCTAGCCCCTTATACCTCCCTTCCCTAACACAGAAAGAATCTCAAAAGATTCTGGCCCCTTATGCCTCCCTTGTGCTTACAACACCAAAATATATCAGATATACAGAATTATCATATCAGAATTTATTTTCAGATTCCCAAACCCTGACAGAATATCAAAGGATTTTGGCCCCTTATGCCTCCCTTCCCTGACACAGACAGAATCTCAACGGATTCCGGCCTCTTATAACTCCCTTATGATATCACAATACATCAACATCAAATCACATCATATACAGAGATATTAGATTCGTATCAGAATATCGTCCACATCAAACATCAAATCACATTAGATTCATAGAAATCAGATTCGTATCAGAATACCGTCGGAGAGTATAACGACAGACAACGGAAATTCAACAGATCAAAATTCACAGTTTCAAAAAATTATCAAATTACTAGAGATCGTAGAAAATATCATTTCAAGACTTTCATTGTACTGAAGCAATATTTTTCAACATCCAGATAATTTCATATTCGATGAAAACTCCACAGAATTCAAAATACCCGGTGAAAATCTTCCAGAAAATACTCAAAACGTGCAAAATTATAATCTCTATAACATACTAGAAGTTACCCAGTAAAAGTTTTACCGGTGCCAAGTTATACCAGATTTTCGCTAATGAAAACAGAAAATTAAACAAAAAATCCGTCAAAATCCACATTTCTGAAAATTGAGAAAGGCATAATGTGCCTTACCTCGAGTCGGTCAACTTTTCCAACTACGGCGACAGATGAAAACGAACCGAAGTCGCCCAAAAAATGGATTTTCTTCTCTTTCCTTCGTTTTCTATCTCCTTCCCTTCTCTTTCTTCAAAAAATGACACTATTTAGATATTTATCAAACAGGATCGTCCAGACGATGCCCTGATCGTCCCGGGACGATCTCCTCTGGACTCCAATCGTGCAGACGAAAATTACAGATCGTCTATGGAGGAGGTCCTCTGGATCCCGTTCGTACTGACGAAAATGGCCTTCGTCCGAGGACGAAGTTCTCTGTCACCAGGTTTTGAACTGTTCGTCCCGAACGATCTCCTCTTCGTCTGGACAAACTTGGAAGGAAAACTGAGTTTTGGCTTTCACAATTCTTATGTTTTTGAGTGGATGCTCTGATAAAGCCGAGGTTAGTGAAGTGAGTATCCTTATGCTGGATAGTTTTGGGGACTATATTTGGAAGGATGTTTTTGGTATTGCCATTGTCATTTCTTTGATCCATGAGGATCAAGGTTTGTTTGAGGTTACAAAAAAACAAAAAAAAGGTTTGTTTGTGGTTGTCTCTTGGCCTATTGGAGCTTCTGGCCGTGGATCGACTTTGTTGAGGTGGTTGTTGGTGTATGTCGGTAATGACGAGGTGGTTGTTTGGTCTATTGCTTTTCAGCTGATATTTTAAGATCAAGTCTTTTTTATTAAAGATTTGAAGGACTTAAAGTTTTTTGGTTTCTCTCTTGTCTATGTGATGAGAATGGTTATGATTATCAGTTTGGTTGGCTTTGGCATTGGTGAGGCCGGATATTAGCTTCTTGAGGTGGTTGTCGATGTTATGGCTTTACATTGGATTATCACTGGTGTTGTTCTTGCCAGTATGATGGATGTGATGGCGATTTTCAGTTTCTATGACTTAGCTTGTGAAGAGGCTGTTTGGAACTTGTTGGACCCTAAGATTGATGAGGGCCAGGAAGATGTTTGGATAGCTGGTTTAGAAGTTATTTTCATTTTTCTTGTAACTAGTTTTCTCTTACTTGTTTTGCTTATAGGCATCTTACACCTTTTTAAAACCATTATGATGAAATATGGGATTTTCACTAGGTTTCATTTTCCATCTTTTGATAAATCTGGGATACTAACCAACCTCTTAGGTTGTTTTAATATTTGGTATCCCCATCACCCCAATGGATCTAAAATGGAATTTAGTAAATCGCATATCCATTATAATAGTTTTAAAAGGTTTACTTTTGCTTTCTAGATTGTATTAGGTTTTCTTCTTTTAATGCAATTTGCATTTCTTCAAAAAAAAGTCATGGATGAAAACTGTCATAGGGAATGAAGTTCAAACATTGAATCTTAAATTCAGAAAAGTTCTAAAAGCTTTATATCACTGGAGTAAAGCCAAGTATTCAAACCTCAACATCCTTAAAGACAAATTAAAGAAAGACATCATAGAGCTGCAAGAGGAAGAGGCAAATTCAGGAGGATTATCAGATGAGAAAGTTTGTTTGCTGAAATTCAAGGTGAAGGAGTTAAATTCTACCTTGGGACGGCTTAGTTCTTGGTGGAGACAAAGAGCAAAGGTCAAGTGGATCAAAGATAGTGACTCAAATTCAGAATGTTTTCATTTTGTTGCCTCTGCTAGACGGAATAGTAATTTCATTAAGCAAATAAAAGACTCCAATGGCAGAATGTTTGAGGAGCAAAAAAGAATTGAAGAAACTATATTTGAGTATTTCAATGATAAATGGAAAGCTAGAAGATGTACATTAACTGGTTGGCTGAAGCCAAGCGGAGTGCTGGACGAGGGAGACAAAAATATGCTCTTGGAAGATTTTTCTGAAGAAGAACTGAACTCTGCTATTCGACATCTGGAAGGTAATATATCACCTGGTCTAGATGGTATTACCTACTCCTTAAAATTCTATTGGAATACCATTAAAAATGATGTTTGGAAGGAAGTGAATCATTTTTTCAAATCTGGTTTTATGTGTGAGTATTGGAAGGAAACCTCTGTAGTTCTCATTCCCAAGCTCAAGAACCCAGCGACTCCCTCTAATTATAGACCCATTAGTCTATGTAATTCCATCTACAAAATTGTAGCAAGAATGTTACTGAACAGATTAGTTCGCTTTATTCCTAAAATTATATCAGAAAATCAAGTTGCTTTTATAAAGGGTAGATCCATTTCGAATAATATCCTGCTTACTCAAGAGATCATCAACAAATTTAGATTTTCTAAATAAAAAAAAGGTATGATGGCTATCAAAGTTGATATGGAACAGGCCTACGATAGTATGGGATGGGAGACCTTGAAACAGGTGTTAGAGATAATTGGTTTCTCGGAAAAATTCTCAAATCTACTTCTTTAATGTGAAGTTGACACAAAATATTCCATACTCATTAATGGCTTTAATACTAAATGGATTTGGGCAAAATGCGGATTCAGGAAAGGTTGTCCATTATCTCCCTTTTTGTTTATCATGTGCTCTCAATTGTTAACTGAAGAATTCAATCAAAGAGGAGCAAAGATTGGAATTAAGGTGACTCCAAATGTAGAAAAAGTATCTCACTTGCAATATGCTGACGACATTGTTGTATTCTCTGTAGCAAGCAGCAAAAATGCAAAAAAAATTAAGAAGATTATGAAGAATTATTACAGCTGGACAGGGCAAAGAATCAATGTGCAAAAGTCTTCATTAATCCTTGGGAAATCAGTGAGAAGAAGTTAGTCTGGACAGGGCAAAGAATCAATGTGCAAAAGTCTTCATTACTCCTTGGGAAATCAGTGAGAAGAAGTAAGTCCAAGGCTCTCTAAAAAATTCTGGGTATAAAAGCAGTTAACGAGCTGAATTACCTTGGCGTTAAGATGGTGATCATGAGAAGTAACAGCTTCAGACTTTCAAGGATTGCTGGAGAAAGCCTATGATAAGCTTAATTTATGTGGAAATCGTTTCCTAACTTTATCTAGTAAGCTACAACTTATTAAGTCCTCATTCTTGTCTATTCCTATCTTTCTTTCAACTCATTCTATGATTCCTATAGGAGTATTGAAAGAATTGGACAAGTTGAGTAGAGAATTTTTATGGATGAAACAAGATAGGAGCAAGGGAATTCATTATGTTGATTGGGGTACTCTTTGTAAAAATAAAAGAATGGGAGGACAAGGAGTTGTTTCAGCTTTTGATAAAATTGGAACTTGGAGAGCTAAATTTGCATGGAGTCTGTCACGACCGGCCTGGCTAGCCCGATTATTTCGGGGTGGGAACAGTCGGTCGTACGGAAGAGCATAATGCATAACAAAATTTTCATTTAAAACTTAAGGTCAGAACATAAATATCATCCAAAAATACATGAAAGAGCCACTAATAAACTTCAAACTCAAATGTTACAAACTGATCAACTGTCTCATAATCAAAAAAACTTTCAAACCCATCATCATAACATAAACTTTCACAATTACATAAACCTCAAACTCACGAACTACAATGAAACAAACACAAAGACTCAAACTGAAAACACAAAAAGGAACCTTTCATCTTGAGGTCCCCTACGACGATACATATAAGGTCGTCGAGCAGCCATCACTTCTCTCCTGAAAAAGATTTTAAACGAGGAATGATCCAACGCTCAACAGGTAATTCATAACTCAGTTAATTTCATAAGATGCATACTTAAAATATTTTAAAATTAAAAACTAATTCATAACATTTTACTAGTCAAAATTCTTAAAACTTTTAATCTTACATTTCTTTAATCATTTCATTAACATTTCATTTCTTTCATAATTCTTTTATGTCATCTTATTCATATGCAATGCAGATGCAAAAATGCTTATGTCATATATATACACCCATCCCGGAAGTATCCTTTTTCGTACTGATCAGGTTACAAGCCCCATTATCATTTGGCTTTTGTAAGCCCCTTTATCGTTACCATTTTGGCACTTCCGGATCAACATACAACATGAAACTTTTATTCCATTTAAATCTTTTTCATTTCCGTTCAATTTCCTTTTATAAGCCTCATATAATTTCATACTCAAATGCTTTTCATATGGTTCATATGCATTCCAACAGTTAATGCAAAAATATAAAGACATAAACTTACAGAATTAATGAATTTAAAACATTAATTAGCAATAAAAATATAAAGACATGAAATTTTATTAAGCATAAAAATTTTAAAGCACTTATAAATTTAACTGAGATATGAACACCTACCTCAAACCAAATACGACACGTCGTTTCGACCAAAATTCTTTCACCTTGAATTTTAATGATCACCACCTAATAAAGTTTATAAAGTAAACGTGTCACATAATTAGAAGTCAAATTTCTAAGTCTAATTGCTAAACTCGGCATTTTCCCTTAACCGTTCCTTACGACATTTAAAGGATAATCAATTAAATAAACCTAAATTTTTGGATTAAATAAATACTAAATTTTTGAAAATTCATAAATCTTTAATTTCACTAAAATATTGTTCCTAAACTAATCCCTAACATATAATTATAATTATAATAAAATTTTCGGATTAAAGTAATTATGAAAATTATAAAAACAAAATTTTCCTAAAAAAAACGTTTCCAATAACATTAGGAACAATAATTGTAAAGGGGATTTCTCAAAATTTAAAATCTAAGAAAAACCCTAAATTTTAAATCTCCAAAATTTCCTTAAATCTCTTCATTTTCATTGCTAAAACATTCCTCTAATCCTCCCTTAAAGTATTCGTAAAGAAATTACGAAAGAAAATCGAAATTTGGAAAAATCCTAGATTTTTCGATCTCAAATAACTTGAGATTTAGGAAGTTTCGTTCTAAAATAATCGTACATGAGTGTTCCTCTCATCGTACTCTTCGATTCAAACTAATTTCTTCGTCGGAAAATTGTCGTCGGAGCGGATCCCGTCGCCCACCCGTCGCCTATGCCGTCCGTCGCTTCTCCCTTTCGGTCCGCTCAATTCATGCGTGAAATGGAGAGGGAGGGGTGCGGGTAGTGTATTTAGGAGGAAGGGTTTGCTAAAAGACCAAACTACCCTCACTTAAGAAATTTCGACATAACAAATGATTAAGGGTAGTTTTGGTATTTTTAGGCTTCTAAAAATAATAACTCCAAAATTAGGCAAAATTGGGTACAAGTTTTATATACTAAAACAATCAGAATTCCACAAAGAATTTTCTAAAATTATTTTCGTTAAATTCTGTTAATGTTGAAAATCTCACTTAATTTCGTCGCGATACTTTAAAAAGCGTGCGATGTCTAAAGAGGTATTTTCGGGTTTTACAATTCTACCCTCCTAATAAAAATTTCATCCTCGAAATTTAAAAGAAACAATACTAAACGATAAAAGCATACCTTAGTTAAACAAATAAGGGTAGGTCTCCCTCATTTCTGCATCTTTCTCCCAGGTGGCATCCTTCTCTGAACTGTGCTTCCAAAGCACCTTAACAAAAGGAATCGCTCTGCTCCTCAACTGCTTAACCTCAAAGTCAAGAATCTTCTCTGGTTCGTTAACAAATGTCAAGTCAGGTTTAATGTCTACCACATCTGTATTAATCCTCTGGACCTTATCTAAAATATATTTCCTTAAGGAGGAAATATTAAACACATTATGTACTCCACTCATGTGTGCTGGCAGAATCAACCTATAAGCCACTTTTCCAATCCTTTCTGAAATCTCAAATGGTCCTACAAATCTTGGACTCAGCTCTTCCACTTTGCCAAATCTTTTCACTCCCTTCATTGGACTGACTTTAAGGAACACAAACTCAACTGGTCAGTGCTTGGCATCATAGTATTTCTTCTGTCTGTCTTGCACTACCCTCAATCGATCTCTGATCAATCTGATCTTTTCTGTAGCATCATCAACCAGATCAGCACCAATTATCTTCCTTTCTCCTGTCTCAGCCTAATTTAAAGGTGTCCTACACCTTCACCCATACAAAACCTCGTATGGAGCCATACCGATACTTGCTTGAAAATTGTTGTTATAAGCAAATTCAATCAAAGGTACATATGCCTCCCATTTACCACCAAAATTCAGAACACATAACCTGAGCAAATCTTCTAAGGTCTGGATGGTTCTTTCTGACTGCCCATCTGTCTAAGGGTGGAAAGCTGTGCTAAAGGTAAGTCTGGTACCCAAAGCTTCATGAACTTTCTTCCAAAATCTGGAAGTAAATCTTCCATCTCGTTCTGACACTATAGTCTTAGGTACTCCATGCAATCTGACAATCTGATCAACATACAAGCTTGCAAATTTTTCAACTGGATCAGACTGTTTGATAGGTATAAAGTGTGCAGACTTAGTCAACCTATCAATAATTACCCATAAAGTGTCACATCCTCTTCTGGATCTGGGTAAACCAACCACGAAATCCATAGCAATGTCTTCCCATTTCCACTCTGGTATGGGTAAGGGCTGTAGATATCCTCCTGGCTTCTGATGTTCAGCCTTAACCATCTGACATGAAATATATTTGGCCACTGTATCTGCTACACTTCGCTTCATTCCTGGCCACCAAAACACCTCCTTCAAATCCTGATACATCTTATTACTTCCTGGGTGAATGGTGTAACTGGAGTAGTGAGCTTCTTGAAGAACTTCTTTTCTCAAATCATCCACATCTGGAATGCACAATCTGCCCTTATATCGAAGCAATGTTTTACCATCAAGTTCAAAATCTTCAATGTGACCCATACTAACCATATCCAATATCTTCTTAAAATTTGCATCAAGTGGTAAAGCTTCTTGTACCCTTTCTGGAAAGGTTGACATAATTGTAGTCTGATTCAACCTTATAATTTCTGCATCACTAGGCTGAACCACTGAAATCTCCAATTTCTCCAAATCCCTTATCAACTCCTGCTGTTGTGTAATCATCCAGTTTGCACTACCTGAATTCTTTCTGCTCAAAGCATCAGCAACCATATTTGCTTTGCCCGGATGGTACTGAATGTCCAACTCATAATCCTTTATGAGTTCTAGCCATCTCCTCTGCCTTAGATTTAGTTCTTTCTGGGTGAAGATATACTTCAAACTCTGGTGGTTAGTAAAAACTTCGCACCGCACTCCGTACAAGTAATACCTCCATATCTTCAAGGAAAAAACTACTGCAGCTAACTCCAGATCGTGGGTTGAATATTTCCTCTCATGATTCTTCAATTGCCTAGAAGCATAGGCAATGACTCTCTCATTCTGCATCAGTACACAACCCAACCCTTTATGTGAGGCATCACTGTAAAGCTGAAACCCATCTGTCCCTGAGGGAATAGTCAGCACTGGAGCAGTTATCAAATACTGCTTCAACCTCTGAAAAGCTTACTCACACTGAGCTGTCCATTCAAACTTCACTGCTTTCTGAGTCAATATGGATAGTGGCATTGCTTTCTGTGAAGATCCCTCAATAAATCTCCTGTAGTAGCCTGCCAATCCCAAAAAGCTCCTAACCTCAATCACTGTAGTAGGTCTTGGCCAGTCTGCTATTGCTTGCACCTTATGCTGATCCACAGATATCTTCCCATCAGCAATCACATGCCCCAAAAATTTAACACTCTTCAACCAAAACTCACACTTAGAGAACTTAGCATACAAATCATTATCTTTTAAGGTATACAATAATGATCTTAAATGATTTGCATGCATTCTTTCATCAGGGGAGTAAACAAGTATGTCATCTATGAATACAATCACGAATAGATCTAAAGAAGGCTTAAAGATTCTATTCATGAGATCCATAAACACTGCAGGGGCATTTGTTAAACCAAAGGGCATTACTACAAACTCATAATGCCCATATATGATACTGAAAGCAGTCTTTGCAATATCCTCCTCTCTAACCCTGAGCTGGTGGTACCCTGACCTCAAATCAATCTTGGAAAATACTAAAGCACCTTCCAACTAATCAAACAAATCATCTATCCTTGGGAGAGGATACTTGTTCTTCACTGTCAACTTATTCAGCTCTCTGTAATCTATACAAAACCTTAGGCTTTCATCCTTCTTCTTCACAAACAGTACAAGAGCACCCCAAGGGGAGTACTAGGTCTGATGAAACCCTTCTCAAGCAACTCTTGCAATTGCTCCTTCAACTCCTTAAGCTCCTTAATTGTCATTCTGTAAGGAGCCTTAGCAATAGGTTCAGCTCCTGCCACTAACTCAATAGAGAAATCTATTTCTCTACTTAGAGGTAAACCAGACAAATCATCAGACAACACTTCTGGAAATTCCTAAACAATTGGGATATCCTTCAGCTCTCTTTCCTCTTTCTTCTCCTCCTTAACATAGACCAAGAAGCCTTCACAACCTTTCTTTAACATCTGAAAGGCCTTCAAGGACGACGCAATCACTGCAGTTACTCATATATCCCCTTGAAATTTAAATTTCTCCTCTCCTAGCATACAGAACTTTACCTCCTTCTTGTTACAATATATAGTCACGAAATGACAAGATAACCAATCCATGCCTAAGATTGCATCAAACTCAAATAGTGGCAATACAATCAGATCAGCCTCAAAGTTCTTATCACAAATCCTCAACTTCACTAGACATCTCTGCTTAGCTTCCAACTGATTTCCATTAGGCATCAAAACTGATAGTGATTTAATCATAAATGTAGGAAGCAAATTAGCATATCTAACAAACTCTTCTGAAACAAAGGAGTGTGATGCTTCAGTATCAAACAGGATTCTAACGGGTCTATCGCACATTAAGATTGTCCCTAAACATGAAGAGTTATAGAATTCATTTACAAAATATGTCATTCATTAATTGTTCCTTTCATTTTTTTTCATTGCTTATTTCATATTCATAATAAAAATATTCATTGCAATAAATTTAATTACGTACTTGTAACCACATCAGGAGACCCCTTAGTTTCTTGCTGGGACAATCCATAGACTCAAGGCTGAACATTCTGACGAGTCTGACCTTGAGAAGGAACAGAAGCTATAGACTCCACAACTCTTGGTCTACCAGCTGTCCTCTGAGTGTTGTTGCCTGACCTCACCTCTGAAGCAGATCTTTGTCCCAAAAGAGGACAAGACTTCGCCATGTGCCCAGGCTGATGGCACCAGTAACAAGTATTAGTGTCTGAGAGGCTGTTGACCTCTGCAATTGAAACGAAAATAGAGAAATAAAAAAGAAGCCTAAAATCATTACTTGTAGCAGCCGAAGCCCATCCCTCGTATCTGGCAGAAATCCCTCTACAGTCGCCCATGCCGCTACTATATGCCAGATGCACGTATCTCTATACGTATCTGATTGATGACTAGCCTTAATCGAAAGTTCTCTCGTGATCGGGAGGGGTAATTAACTATAGGGGCTTGCACCTATAGGAAACCAGAACTCAGATCATAAAGTCCTCACAAAATGAGGGTGAAATCTCTGGGTAGTGTCTTATCTACAAACCCATCTGCCTTCTAAAATTTACCCCGGAACTTAGTCCGTTAAAACTCCCTCGCTGAATAAAAAAGAAAAGCGCAGCGAGCGGAGGCCGGGGCAGAATTTTTGGAGCCCACAGATTTCTGGCGACTCCGTTGGGGATTGGTTTCTCTTTTCATCTTTGACTAGTAGTCTCCGTATTTAGTAGCATTCATATTGATCTATACTTAAAATTTTAAGTATCCTAAGAATGATCGTTCAAAAAAAAATCCTTTGAGACAACGTATTTAGCAGTATTTTAAATTTATATTATTTGAATTGCTTGCTAATGATATCTGCTTTTATTTTGTGTTCTGTGCAAGTCTCTGCATTTTGAAAGTGTGGGGTGATGTATCAGATTCTGATTACTAACCATTGCCTTTCATTTATGCAAATGGAGCTACAGAACACGCCGATGACTGTCCAACTGGGTTCAAGGAGCCAAGATTCAGATGGCAAATGCTGTTATTGAGACCAGAAATGCTGGAACTACGATCCCGTTTGGTAGCATTGACTTCCCGGCGATCGCTGCAAGGAATGTCGCCATTCCTGTGAATGGTAGGAATGTTGCGAAGTCTGCCAGAAGACTCAATGTTGATGAAGCTGTCACCCGTCGTGTGCATCTAACGGCACAACAACCTGTTGCTGAAAATTCTCGAGGGAGAATTTCTGTATTTGAGAGCCTGTCACAGCCTGAAGCCCTGACCACCAGGAGAATTGTGAATGGTGAAAGAATCTCCGTGGTGACTACAAACACCACCACTCTGTCAACCAGGTTATCTGCACCTGATAAATACGATGCTGAGGCCTCCTCATCTGGAGGAAGGCCTACGAGAAGGCAAAGAAGAAAGATGAATGCTGAACTTCGAGCTCAGCAACAACAACTCCATGTTCACCCTTCCAATCTGCCAGCCCAGATGCTTGAAGCCGATGTTCTTACCAGGAACAAGTTTTCTGATTTAAAATGGGTAAAGAGGAATAGCTCCACTGGTGAGCTGAAGAAATCATTTTGGGACCAGCAGCCTGAAGTCCCAGCTCTTTCAAAGAGGAAAGAATCTGAAACTCTCTCGGCCTGGGTCTATAGGGTCCTGAAGACTGTAAAAGAGAGAGGATTGAATAAAAGAAGATACCAATGACCACTGATGGTCGAAGCCCGGAGGACTCCACCAAGAGAACGCTTATCTGTTGTGGTGGAGAGAAAATAAAGGAAATATACCCCACGCGGTGAACATTAGGGTGTGACACCTGAACCATATGTTCAGGGATCCACCACTAAAAGGTCCTGGTGGAAAGGAAAATAGGTCTGCAGGTCAAAGCCTCGA